CTTCCTTGGTGTCATTCCTGTTGATGAAGCCATATCCGTTTCTTACATTAAACCATTTCACTGTTCCCAAAACCTTCGGCCGCTGTGAGACATTGGTGGGCTGCTGCTGGGTCTTGGCCTTGCTGCTCATGGTTGCGGTGATGGTGACTGGGGCCAGCTGCAGCAGCTGTGGCTTCTCCCAGTGTGTGATGGTAACTAGGCCGGCGGCGGTGGTGGGGCTGCTCAGGGCTCTCTGGGGTCCGCTCTCCACTCCCGCTACCAATCAAACTCTGTTTTATTTTTTTAGACAGGGTCTCACTGTGTAGTCCAGGCTGGCCTTGGACTTGGATATGTAGCCCAGGCTGGCCTCAAACACATGGTGCAGTCTTCCCAGTTGTGAGGTTATAGGCATGGGCCATTATGCCTGGCTAGTGCTGTTCATTTTACTCAAAGTATAACTTATAATTTTTCTGATCAAATTGCTCCTGTCTCTGAATAATAAATGGTATCTCCCTCTATTCAATCAAGTACCACAGCCAGAAACTGGGAATCAGCCAAGACCTCCCACATAGCTTCAGTTCTAACCCTATTTCTCCCATGTCTATTCACATCGATCTAGCCCCTCCACTAAATCACCACCACCACTCATATTGATTCCTTTCACAATCTCCTAAAAACCCTTCATCCAATCTTATTGTTCCCTAAGCTCCATAATTACAATCACAGAAATTTCTCCACAAAATGCAAATCTTGTATTATTGTTCTGCTTAAAATCCTTTTAACGAACTCCCATTATCCTGAGAATAAGGTTCAAGTTTCTGAACAGTTTGCAAGGTCTTGCAAAATCTAAACCATGCTTCCCTCAGAGACCACTTGCTTAAGTATTTCCTGGCACACTCCAGGGTACAGCCATAATTGACCATGCATGCTTAACTCCAAAGCCATAAATATGCTACTCTTCATTCTAGAACAGTGGTGGCAAACCTACAATACATATGTTGTTTGTTTTTCTTTTAGGACAAAAGATGTTAATGTATGAGATGTTTTTTTCTAAACTAAAACCTCAGCATTGAAGATGAGGTGCAATGTTGGCCCTTTGCAGTATGCAGTACATAAGTGGAACTGGAGTTGCACTCAAGTCTCCAAAAGGCTTGGCAGCACGGTTCTAGAACACAACCTTCACCCTTCAGTCCAGCTAGCTCTTCATTTAATTTTCAGTGTACACGCCACTTCCTTCAAGAAGCTTTTCTTATCTCACACTCAATACACTACCACTTCACGTGGGTTACTGTCCTCACAACTACTGTCTTCTATATAGCACAACTTCACATACTCCTTCATTAGATCTCAAGGAAAAGGAATACTGGGCACCTGTTCATCACTGACACAACAGCAACTACCAGAATGCCTGTCTTTCAGTAGGCATTCAATAGACAACAGTCAGGAGCCACATAACTATATTCAGTTCAGTAACAGATCACAGTGGTCCCTAAGATTATATTGCCTAGTGAGTGACAATGAAGCAAAGTGGCAGCAACTTTTAGAGACTGAGGGCCCAAACTGCAACACAAAGCCCACTTACTAGTCACAAAGTGCCAACACTGCAATTAACCTGAATGCTGAGGTTTTAGTTTAGAAAACACAACTCATACATTAACATCATTTGCCTTCAAAGCTTTACAATAACAGCTTTCAGTGCTAAGAACAGCTTTCTACTGAAGGATGAAAGTTTGCATTTGGCAGGCTTTTACACAATTAATGTGATCTTTGCTACTGTACGCACGCTGATAATTTGACAAACCATGGCCAGAGTAACTTGGCTGGCATGCTGACAGGGCTCTGTATGCCTGCTGCAGCATGCATAACATAGCTTCAGCACCACTGTTGTAGCATCTTAGTTTACATTAATTACATGCTCTGAAGCTCACAGAACAATGAAATCATCTAACAACATATTTCTTTTTTTTCCCCTCCGGTTTTGAAAAAGAGTTGGTATTTAATGTAAAGCAAAGTAAGTCAATAGAACCAGTACTTCTACTGAGAAATGTATCCCAAAAGCACACACATCCTTTTCCAGTTGTGCAGTTGTCACTCTTGGGACAAATTATCCATTGAAAATTTTAAAACTTAGGCTAACACTAGATGTGGGGTGCTGTAGTACTCCTAAAGACTGAAGGGTACAGTAGGCAAGAGACTACCAAGGGAGTAAGGCAACCCCAAGAATTTAGTCTTGGGCACCTCTGCATGATTCAGGTGGAAACTGTGACTCGGCAAAGTGCAGCTCTGCTAACAGTTCTAATATCTCCAGAAGATACCAGGTAATGCTGCATGCAGATAGCTGACACAGATGCCACTGGTCACAGCCACTGCCTGCTGTCATCATCCAATGCCAGCCTATGCTAGACACTGCAGGTTGGCTGTTCTGGGCACTGTGTCTCTGCTGCTGGTCTTTGTTGGTTGCTGGCTGTTGGAGCTCTTTAGTATTAACAGCTGTTTATTCACTTTCTCCACAATACTCTGGGTAAAAACCCTAAATAGATTTATAGGACTTTTGGAACTCTATTCAAGAAATAAATCACAAGGAGGTTTTTATAGGAACACCAAAGAGGGTTTTTGTTTTAACAAGGCCTGTGGTGCAGCACATGGAGGCTGGTACAAAGGAGCAAGCCTTCCTAGACTAAAACCCAACAGCACACCTCTTACAAAACAACCCTGACTATAGTAAGTACATCGACGCCTGACCCTATGAGCCTTTCTTTTCAGTAAAGTGCAATGGTCAAGGGCACAGCTCTGGAGTTAAATAGATGAGTGCTCAAATCTTGCCTCTCATACTTCTAAGATCTTAAGCATCTTTTGGAGCCTGTGTTTTTTAAATCATAAAATTAGGACAATAAAAGTACTGATTTTATTGGATCACCATGAACATTAGATGAGGTCATTCATTATTCAATAAACGTTTGCTGACCACCAGCACTACTCAATGCTTTAACTATTTCTCACATTCACGTCTATATACTGATATAAAACAACACATTAGGAGCCGGAGAGATAGCTCAGTAGAATAAGCGATTGCCTGACAAGCACAGGGTCGTGAGTTCAATCCCCGGTACCGCAAAAACAAATAAACAAAAAACACATTAGTATATAATTATGAAAGCTAGCTGATTAATGTATAACATAGGACAGGTATGTATACTGACAAACAGTAACATTTATATAGAATTTCTTTATTCACAAAACATCTCTATACACATAAACTCATTAAACCTTGGTAACAACCATGTCAACTGATGAGTAACTCCAGTTTACAACTGCTATGCACAACAGTTTCTGCTAGCTCTTTTGTTTTCCAACTTCACTCAAAAGCAGCTCAAGTGCAAGGGTCTGAGTTCAATCCCTGATTCCACCAAAAAAAAAAAAAAGAAAAAAAAAAATACAATTTTCTTTAGGGCTGGTGAGATGGCTCAGTGGTCTAAAGTACCTACTTAGAACAAGCTTTAGCAAAGTACAGGGACCGCAGTTCAATCCCCCAGCACCACATGCCAGCCAGCCCCACCCCCTGGTGGGCTGAGCTGGCCACACACACACACACACACACACACACACACAAATAAATAAATCAGCTCAAATGCCACCTTCTGCATGGAGTTCCATGCCAGGAGCTGTCTCTGACCACAGCACACACTCTATGGGACATTCCATCTGACCAGCAGTATTTAAATTTAGATACTGTCTTTTTCTCTAATGGTAGAATCTTACAGACAGAGGGTGTATCTTCCCAAATTTATACCCTCTTCCATGTCATGTAGAGCTCCTCCTAACTTAGAAATTATTCACTAAGGTTTGGGTACAGTTCAGGGAGTGGTAGAGCACTTGCCAAGCAGGAATCAGGCCCTGAGTTCTAGCACCAACAACAAAAATCCCCTGAAATTTAGCATATATTTTGCTCCTATTTATGTTGAATTAAAAAGGGGAGAAACTTTCAAAAACAAAACAGAAAGAATTATCTTAATTATCACAAACAAAAGATACAATGTAGGGCCTGTACCTCTGCTTATTATTCAAAATACATTGACTTTCTAAAATGGTATTTCAAGTAGAGAATGTCACCAAAAAAACAGACTTTCTTGAGGAAACCTCTTAACATTTATTTTAATTTTCTGTTTTTAAAAAAGTAGTTTCTTCTCATATTATCAACTTTTGACTGCTATAGTAAATAATATATTTCTAAACTTCAGGGAGTAGCTAGGAGATAGCTGAACAGTGACAGCAGGTGGCTCAGTAAATGTTAGCTAAATAAATTTAACTACAAAATGTTTAAACAAAGTAAATGATTAAACCATTAATAGAACGTGTACCTGAATTATTTTCCTGGTGTACTTTCACATAATCCATCTTTATCGGCTTGTCTAATTTCCCTGCTTACTAAACAGCTTATATGGAAGTGGGCTAGACAATTTTGTTTCCCATTACAGGTATATTTAGTTAGCGCATCACCATCTTGCTCAAACCAAGCACCAACGTATGTTGAGATGCCACTTTTGTGAACTACTTAACTAGAATTATAAACAAGAAGTTTTAGGAAAGAAATCTAGTTTTAGCAGCAAGCAGAGGCAGCAATTGTATTAGCTTTTCGTTCAGCTTCCAGTTGTTTAGTATATCATTTTTCAACACACATGTATACCCACATGTACACACACACACACACACACACACACACACACTTCTTACCCATTTTATCCAAAGAAAGCATATTATAACTTTTGAGTTCTGCTGGTCCAGACAGTCTACCAGAGTTAGAGTAGTATCTGTCTTGCCTTTGCAGTGGAAGAGCTGGATCAGGATATGGTTGGCCTAGAAAACATATTTTGGAAATATCTTCATTAATAGAAATATAGTTTACTTCAGTGTAATGTGATAAACTTAAGAAATAACTATTGCTTCTAAAAAAACTCATACCCATAATTAGTGACCATAATTAGTGACATACGACAAAATTGCATATTTTACTATAAGTTATAGGTATGTTTTAAATTAAACACAAGTATGATTTGCTACTTTGTATTTTGAAAGTTTTTATTATTTGTATAATAATGTGAGTTAAATCTATCTCAGCATAAAATGTTTAAACAGGATAATATTAGAGTGTGAAAAAAATTAGTTAAGAAATATATTTCATTTAGGATTTCTGGGAAGATGGCAAAGTGGTCAACAGCCGAGAAACAGCCCCTCCAAGATTTGGTGTCTGTTCACTACAATACAGCAACATGAGGAAGAGAAGGAGAGAAGTGGGTCCCAGGAGCCCAGCAAGGAACTGAAGGGAGAACTGAGGCCAACAATAAGAGCCACGAGAAACTTCAAAGGAGGAGAGGGCGGCAAGTGGCACTTTCCCCCTAAGCCCTGACTCACTGCAAGGGAGGGGCAGCTCAAACCTGCAGACACACAGTAACTATGTGTACCCATGGAACAGAACAGTGGAACAAAGCAGCAAACCGCAGTGCCTGTTGAGTTACTCAAGATTCAGACAACCCTAAGAGAGGGCGATTTGCCAGTAGGCATCTTGGAGAGGGACCAAATGAGCTCAGAACTCACAGCAACTACTAGCTCCATCTACTGGCCCCCAGTCACCACAAGGCAGAACCAAGCTCAACCCAGCAGCAGAAAAAGGGCCCACAACAACCCAACAGTGACATGAGCTCAGGACAGCAGGAGGCACACGCAGTATTGTAAGCTGAATAAATTGGGCTCCAGCCTCACAGTCAGAAACCAGCCTGAGCTTTAGTTGAACTAATGGTGGAGGCTTGCTGGGATTATCCACTACCATACCATAAATCTACAGCTGGCCTGCTGAGAATAATCAACTCAGGTCTGTGTTCTGCCGATCTGTCTACCAGTGAATAGTAGAGATACATTAAAGTGAATTTATTTTTAATTTTTTTCCTTTTCTTGTGTTTGTGTTTTTCGTTTTCTTTTGTAGTCTTTTTAAAAAATCATTTCATTTATTTATTTATTTACTACAGGGTCTCACTACACAGTTCAGACTTGCAATAATCCTTGTGTTTCAGCATCCTCAGCACTGGGATTGCAGACGTGTGCCACCACACCTGGTTTCAGGGCCGGCACAGAGTGCCTGGGGTTTTGGGGCCAGCATGGCATGCAGTACCAGGGATCGAACCTGGGTCCTTGAACTTGCCAGGCAGTTGCTTACACCGCTGAACTATCTCCCAGCTCTGTGGTAGTTTTTCTTGATTGTGCTTGTTTTTATATGAGTTTGAACACTGTCTCTAGTTTCTTTTGTTACTGTTTGTTTTTATTTTTTCCTTTTCTCTTTGCCTCTTCAATAGTTTCCCAGTTTTGCACAGTCTTCCAGCCTTGGTATTAATCTCTTGCTGTTCTATTTTGTATTTTTCCCCCTGAACCCTTTCAAATTTTTCCCCAGAGGTAAAAATCACCATATTGAGGGTATATCTACTGTTTACAATTTTCTGATTTTAGATTTTGTTATATAACCACAAAAATACGCTTCATATGGTTAAAGGTAGCAAATTAGAAGTTGAGAGAAGCAAGGCACAGTGGTGCACACCTGTAAGCCAGCACATGGGAGGGAGGCTGAGGCAAGAGAACTGCTTTGAGTTCGACGTTAGCTTGGGCTAGAAAGTGAGTTCAAGGCAAGCCTGCATTGCCTAACAAGATCTTGTCACAAAAAGCTCCCCTGCACCCCCTAAAAAAACAACCCAGTTGACAGAGTTTGTGATTTTCTGTGCTGTTTGATGCTATCATTATTACCGATTCTACTATTTTTAGTGAAAATGACATAATCATTCTAATCAGTTGTTCTTCCTGGCATACCAAGACTAAGACTGCTTAAGGGTCCTGAACAATACTACACTATATCCTGAACAATACCACTGCCAAATAACCAAGGGCTGGCCAGCTAGGCAGCAACTTCTCATCCCCAATAAACTGAAGGGGTAGAATCTTGCAACAGACACAAAACCCAAAATCCAACTACACTTGTAAAACTCAGAAAAGTAGTCATTTCCTAGGCATTTTAAATACTAGCAATAAAACTACTTGCCATAAGCAATTTACAAGCATCAATGCAGGAAGTAAGCTAGAGAGAGAGAGAGACAGACAGACAGAGACAGAGACAGACATAGGCAGAAAGAGAGAGAGAGAGAGAAAGAGAGAGAGAAAAATACTTAAACAAGATGCAACCCCAGACTTCCAGCTCACAAGAGATAAACCCAGGGGGGGCAATGAGGTGAAACAATTCAAAAGCCACCATGAGGACTCTCTGAAGTAGTAATTAAAGTAACAAAGTAGTCAAATGAGGGTCTAGAAAAACTCAAATCAGAATAATTTCTAAGATAACTACAAAGATGACCATAATGAAAGACATGCTTACTGTATGGCAAATACAGATTAAAAAGGAGAGGGCCAGGGAGAAAGCTCAGTAGAATAAGCGCTTGCCTGGCAAGCGCAAGGTCCTGAGTTCAATCCCTAGTTCCACCAAAAAAACAAAACAAAACAGATTTAAAAAGGAGAAGGGACAAGGGAGAAAGGAAAAGGGAGGAGGAGGAGGAGAAAAAGGAGGAGGAGGAGGAGAAAGAGGAGGAGGAGACAATGATGACCACCACCACCACCCAAAAATGATGGAAATTATGAATGCACAACATAGAAAACAAAATCCATGAAAGAAATTCAAACAGATGTCCAGGAGATTAAAAATTCCATTCAAACTGTATGCAGCAGAATAAGCCAATGTGAAGAAAGAAAAATCATATATAGAAGACAAGATTTTGGTTAACAATCACAAAAGAAAGAGTTCTTCGGCCAGGGAGATAGCTCAGCAGCATAAGTTCCTACCTGGCAAGCACAAGGCCCTGATTTCAAACCCCAGTATCCCCCCACCGCAAAAAAAAAAGAAAAGATTCCTTAAAAGTACCAAGAGACCACAAAAAATCCACCAGCTGCTACATGATGCAGAGAAGAATAAGACTGACTGAAGACAATGAAAAAAATCAGGAAACAGTGTAAATGACAGTAAAAAAAAACAAAAACCTGTTCACAGAACTAATAGCAGAAAACATCCCAATCATGGAAAAATATTTTGACATACAGATAAGTTAGGCATAGGGAACTCTGATTAGTCATGAACAAAAATAATCTATAGCAAGGCACATCATAGTCAAATTCCAGAAATTCAACATAAGAACAGAATACTAAAGGCTGTTCAAAAAAAAACAAGTTACCTGGGCTGGGAGGATAGCTCAGTGGTCTAAGACCCAGCCTGGTAAGCGCAAGAACCTGAGTTTGATCACATACCATGCTGGCCCCAGACCCCCAGGCATGCTGTGCCAGCCCTGAAACCAGGCATGGTGGTACATGCCTATAATCCCAGCACTGGGGAGGCTGAGACAGAAGGATCACTAAGAATCAAAACTATGTAGTACGTTCCAGCAACAAATAAATATCAAAAACCATAATAATAAAGTAACCTAAAAAGCAAAGCCCATTAGAATCACAGCACAAATCTTCAACTCAAGGAGAGCTTGGAGTGAAGTATTTCAAGTCTAAAAGAAAACAGCCGGAT